TACTGGTTTTGAGTTTTGTTTGTTGTTCTTTTTCTAGCTCCTTTAGGTGTAAGGTTAGGTTGTTTGAGATTTTCTTGCTTTTTGAGCTAGGCCTATATGGACATAAACTTCCCTCTTAAAACAACTTTTTCTGCATCCCAAAGATTTTGGACCATTTTCATTTTCATTTGTCTCCATTTCCTTTTTACTTCCTCTTTGATTTCTTGTTTCATTAATTGAAACATTCATTGTTTAGTAGCATGTTATTTAACCTCCATGTATCTGTGTTTTTTCCAGATTTTTTCTTGTGGTTGACTTCCAGTTTCCTAGTGTTGTAGTCAGAAAAGATGCATGGTATGACTTCAATATTTTTGAATTTGTTGAAACTTGTTTTGTGGCCTAACATGTGATCTGTTCTGGAGAATGTTCTGTGTGCACTTGAAAAGAATGTATATTCTGCTGTCTTAGGATGGAATGTTCTGAATATGTCTTTTATATCCATCTGGCCCAATGTGTCATTCAAAGCCACTGTTTCCTTGTTGATTTTCTGCTTGGATGATCTATCCATTGGTGTAAGTGGGATGTTAAAGTTCCATACAATTATTGTATTACCACCAATTACTTCCTTTATGTTTGTTATTAGCTGCTTTATGTATTTGGGTGCTCCCATGTTGGGTGCATAAATATTTACAATTGTTATATCTTCTTGTTGGATTGTTCCCTTTATGAGTATATATGGACACATTAAATTTAAAGTGCCTGTTAGACACCCAAGGGAGATGTTCAAAAAGCAATTAGCTATCAGGGTCTGGAGATGGAAAGTAGGGGTTCTAAGCATATCAGTGTGGCAGGTGGAGATCATCAAGGGGGTGAGTGTCACCAGACAAGAGGACTGAGCACCAAGCCCTGGGGCCAGGTGGGTAGGAGCCGGCAGGGACACACTCATAGGAATGCCTGCCTATTGCTGAGTGCTATTCCAATTATGCATTCTGGAACTGAAGGGGTGGGGGAAGCCACAGAATGGGTTCGGAGATCCACTGAACCCACTGGGAGCCGGACCTGAGCTAAACCCATTGGTTACCTGACCACTAAAATCCTCTACTCTGACTCACAGGTGGACATGACATGTGGATCTCCTGAAATTAGCCTCAGTTCGGAGCCAGTGTCCAATAAAGCTGGAAAAGTCTGATTATTTCCTTTTCCCCAGTGTACATTCACCTGGTTAAAGGCTGTGAATTCCTTTGGAGAAGTCTGGGAGGGAGGTGAATAGGACACATTTTTAGCAGTATAGTAGGGTCCTTCTGCAGGAGGACCTGATTGTCCATTTTTTAGGAAGTTTATGAGCCTATTGCCAAACACAGCCATGATAGTATTTATTAAATTTTTTATTTAAAAAATTATTCATTTATTTTTAAGAGAGAGAAAGAGAACATGCGCATGCACGTGCATGTAAGGGGAAGGGGCAGAGGGGGAGAGAGTCTCAAGCAGACTCTGTACTGAATGCAGAGCCCTATGCAGGGCTCAATCTCATGATCCCGAGATCACAACCTGAGCCAAAATCAAGAGTCGGTCACTCAACTGACTGTGCCACCCAGGTATCCCGCCAGTTTATTTAAAATTAAACTCTATATGCTTACAAGTAAATAAATTATATTGAAAAAAAAAAGATAATAATCAGAATGCACCGCTTCCTTACTATTTTATTACACTCTACCAAGATCTATGCTCCGTGATCATTCACCTCTGTATGGTAGAAATAGTTATATACGGGGTGCTATTGTATTTCTTTGCAACTCTGAGTTCAATGATGTTGCACTGGTAACTTGAAATTGGCCATTGGTGGAAGTCTCTAGACCATGGAAATTGGCAAAGTCTACAATCAGGACTCCCATTTATTGTTTTATTGATGAAGAAAAAGGAGACGAACGCAGATTAAATTTAGAAGTATGTTACGTTGTGATTAGCACAAAAAGTGAGGGAAGTGTTCGTCCAGCATTAGCTGGCTCAGCAAAGAAGTTGCTCATATCACCGATGGAGTGAGGTTTATCTCCACGGCTTCGCTTTCATTTTATCCTCGAACACAAATGAAAGTATCAGTCCGCGTTTACGTCACGCATCAAATTTCATGATGACAAATTTTGGGGGGAAAGAATGAGCAGATTGGGATGCAACTCCATTTGTGGAGTTCTGGTTGAATGGCCAGCATGGTTTGGCTGTGGTTTTGAGAGGCATTCTGTAAGAATTGGGGGGATTTATAGTAATTTTATGATGAAGAGTAACATATATCGTACTATTGTTAGTATGTTGTGCGCTACACATCATTTGTATCAGTAAAACTAATAATCAGCTTAACTGTGCCCTCCCCCCACAACTGCTGGTGGTTAATGGGGGCCAGCCCGCCGCCCAGGGCACTCTGTGGTTAGGAGGGCAGGGCAGCAAGGAGAAGCCTGGGGAGGAGAGGAGAGCCGTGTGTCCCAGAGGCCAAGTGGGAAGTGTTTCAAGGAGGACAGCTGATCATCTGGGTCAGATGCCCCTGGCGGGTCTCAAGAGGAAGAAGAGAAGGGACCTCTGGATTTGGCACCACAGCAGTTTCAACGGCACAGGGGGGAGGAGGGCCTGACTAGCGGCAGGTTACAGGGACATCGGGGAGACAGGATTGGGCAGCCAGCACGCAAAACTCGCACAACTCCTGAGGCGTTTCCCGGTGGAGGAAAGGAGCCGAAGAGACGAAGGTGTGGGTGTCTGAGCTGTCACCTCCCACCACCTCTCCACCTCAGGCAGATGGGTTGTAGGCAAGAAACGGAGGGAGAAATTTGGGGCAGCCTAGTCCCGTCCCCGTCTTGGGCCCCAGTTCATTCTGACGCTGCACACCAGTTCCTCTCGATGTCAGAACGCACAGCCCTGATCCCAGAGCCCAGACCCCAAAGCCTTGGGGCTCAGAGCTGGAGCCCTTATGGGCAGGCTTGAGACCAAAGACCTGACCCCAGGGCCCAGGAGACGGAGCCCCAAGACGGGCCTGATACCCTAGCCCCTCCCTCCCAGGCTCTCCAGCCCCCAGAAATGTTGTCAGGCTGCGGGCAGTGGCAAGGGTCATCTAAGGTCAGCGGTCGGGAATCTGAGTGGGACGCGGTCAGCCTCAGGGTGTGCAGGGGCAGAGTGGGGAGGAGGGAGGGGGCTTTCTGGGGGCTGGGGCGGTGCTTAGGCAGTCGGAGGGAGGGGAAGGTGTGCAGAAATGTTGAGCGGTGCCAGGGAGTGACTGTGAGGCGGGCTGGGGACTCTGAGCCTGTGACCAGGAGGGGCCAGGGCTGCCCAGAGGGGCTAGAGAGGTCTCCACCCTCAGTGGTTATGGGTCCCGGTGGCGCTGGGGGCTTGATGGGGTTGGTGCATCAGAGAAGTGAGCTGGCTGGTTAGCTGGTGGTATCGGCGTGCTGCTGATAGGGGAGTGTGTGGTGGGCGCAGTTCTTGGTAATGACAAAGTCCGGGGTCTGCCCAGGGTGCGGGTGGCTGAGGGCGGGGGCCAGGCTCGCTGGAAGAGGAGGTCAGGCGCTGAGGCGCCAGGGTGCTGGCCCATCACCCACGGGGCTGCTGAAATAGTAAGCGGGGGCAGCAATGCAGGGGAGTGGCAGGAGCTGACCCCCTCCAGGAATGGGGGCAGAGCGACAATGATGTGGCAATGACAGGGGAGGAGCACGCAGGACCCCTGCCCACCTCTGGGCCCGGGGGGTAGGGGGAGTGGGGGAGGGGAGTGGCCACCATTGAGAGGGCTGCAGGGGTGGGGGTCCCTGCCCACTGCGGGGAACAGGTTTCTGTGGTAGTATGAAGGTCAGGGACACACTCTGAGATGTGGCTGAGGCCACCGTGTGGGTGATGGTGCGTGGGATTATCTGGGAGCGGGGGCGGATGGGAGATGGGGTCTGATTAGAGGATGAGTGTCTGGGGTACCTGGGTTCCTATGGTAACTGATTAAACAAGGATGAAGGGCATGCAGGATGGGGCTTCCTGAAGGTACCACGGCTCACGGGGATGTGGGGCCACGAGGGTGGGGTGGCACGGGTGGGTCTTGTCGGCAGCCTGTAGGGCCCCAGGGCGCTTCTCCACCCCAGCCGCGTCTGTAAAGTGAGGAGAGTGAAAACTGCCTTGCCGAGCATCAGAGAGCCAAGCACTGAGTAGGACTTGGGGTTGTAACTATGACCACCGTCAACCATTGTCACTGGGGGCAGTTTGATGGGCACAGGTGACCATGGTGGGGGCTGTGCAGGGGTGTCTGGTTTCTCCAGAGGGTTTAGTATCTGGGTGGGTTCTCAGGGGTCCAGGAAAGGATAGAGGCCGGAGGATACATCAAAGGACCCCTCTGGCCCAGCATCTTTGCAGTCAGGTGGATGTCTAGTAAGCGGACTTGACCTTAAGTGGTGACCTTGAGGCTGATGGCTCTGTCCTGGGGAACAGCAGGGGAGAGCCCTGACACGCAGGGGAGGGAGAAACACTGACACAACTTCCCCTCTAGGGTATGGGCTCCACATGGGGGGCCTAGCTATCAGAGCAGAGTGAGAGGGATAGGGAGGAGGGAGAGATGGTCGGGGCAAGGTGCAGCATTAAATGGGGTGATGGGGGCTCACTGAGAAGGTGACATTTAAGCAGAGCCTTGAAGAGGGTAAGTGAATGAGCCTTGTGGACACCTGGGGGAAGAGCATTCTATGCAGAGGGAACAGCCAGTGCAAAGGCCCTGAGGCAGGACAGACGGGCAGCTTCATGGAACAGCAGGAAGGTCAGTGTGGTGGGAGCAGAGTGGGCGAGGGGGAGCATCGTGGGGAGGAGAGGTCAGGGAGGTGGCAGGGGGCAGATCACAGGGGGCCTTGTAAGCCGCTGTGAGGACTGCCTTTTACTGAGTGTAACGGGTACCGCTGCTTTTGGGCAAAGGAACGACACAATCTGCTTTAGTGTGTCGTGTGCAGAACAGACGGGCGGGGTGGGGGGGGCACAGGTGGTTCTGCAGAGACCAGTGAGGAGGCTGCCCAGCAATCATGTGGTGAGAGGTGGATGACCAAGTGGGTTTCCTATTGGATTGGAGAATTTGGAGGTATCAGAATGGGGAGCCTTGGCGTGGGGGTCGGAGGTTGTCCAGGGGTTTGCTGTCTCTGCTCTCTGGAGCCTCGGGGACCGCTGTTAGAAGGGGGCTGTTAAATGCTATGGTTTGGCCCCATACCCCGCTCCCCTGTGTCTGTCTTAGGTCCTAGGTTCCGCACGGGGTCTGCCGAAAGGGCCCTGCCACTAGAGCAAAGCCCCATGTTACAGATGGGGAGGCTGAGGCCAGAGGACAAGACGAGGTGCCCAGGGTGGGTCACGTGGGAATCAGTGGAGAGCTGGGACGGAGCCCAGGCTGCCTGGCGCCCAGTCGGGCTGGGCTCCTGGCCAGGGGCAGTCCCCTGCCGCTCCCCAGTCCAGCTGTTAGGGGTGCTGTTTGTGTAGCTTGGCAGCCCCCACCCGCTACCCCGCTGTGGTCTCTCTCCTGAGCCCCCTGGAGACTTGCCTCTCTCCTTTCTGTCAGTGATGTGCCCAAGGGGGCCGAGACCTTCGGAGTCTCTGGGAGCTCCGGAGTGGAGATTTTCATGGTCTACGACCCAGCTCGGGTGACAGTGCCCACAGGCAAGTCCCGCTGGCCCCTGGACACCAATGTGGAGGTGACCGTATCCGTGGATGCAGCCAGTAAGGACTTACATGATCTCAAGGTAAGAGGCCACGTCTCCACAGTCAGGGGCCACGTCTCCCACCCCCCTGCACCCAAGCATAACCCCATCACATCACCCCTGCGCCGCCAAACCCCATGAGGCTCTGACAGCAGCGTCCACACAGCACATCTTGATGCCGCAGACACCCCGGACACGCACGTCCACCCCAAGGCTGCAATGTCACCCATACACACACGAATGAATCCTCCCATAAAAACAAGGCCTGCCTACTCACCCCCTCAGTTCACAGGCACCCTCACGTGAATGCCTGTGTTCAACCTCCACACAGACCCCAAAACAAGCCCCGTAGCGGGCAGGACTCTGTAGCGGCGGCCGTGCACACGCATGCGCGCGTGCACAGAGATGCAGGTGTCCACCGGGATGTGCACCTGTCCTCATATCTAAGGAAGGAGAAAGACTTCTCTTTCCTGGACAGCCCCCTCATCACTCACCCCCAGACGCCCACCACACACACAGTGACCCACTGGTTCACTGACATGGCCCTTTCTCCCCCGACAGGGAAGAAGCAGAGACTGTTTAGCTATTGAGAGCAGGGGTCCTGGAGCCTGCCATGGCTTCAAACCCCACCTCCCCGGCTCACTAGCTGCATGCCTGCAGGGAGGGCCGGGAGTGGCCCCATTGGGAATAGGCCTGGTCTCCTGGGGCCATCTTGGGAGCTCACTGAGATGGCCTGGGTAGAGCCCTTGGCATGGGTTCGGGACCACGGGAAAAGCTCTGTGACCATTGGCTTTTATTGGGAGTGGGGGTGGGGGCGTGTGGTCATTATTCCCATTTTACAGAAGAAGAAACAGAAGCCTACACAGGCTGAGTAACTGGCTGATGTCATTGGCGTCAGCCGTCCCTCCCCTCATTCCTCCTCTCTGACATCTCCCTGGATTCCTGAGGGTCCAGCTGCTCCCTCTGGGACCCGCCCCACCCTACTCAGCCCTCCTTGCTCCTCAGCCCGGCCCTGGAGCCTGGGAGGCATCCACAGCCTCTCTAGCTGGGGAAGGCAGCTCTGAGTCCAAGCCAGGAGCCCGGGAATCTTGGACCTTCTGCAGCGGGGAGCACCTCGGGATGGGCAGGCCTCCCCTGCCTCGAAGCAGGACTGTCGGGGTGTGCCCCCACGCCCCCTGCCACTGCCATCTCTGAGGGGTGGTCGTGCTGGCTTAGGGCTAATGATGTCCCCACAGGTGAAGGTGTCCTACTTCGGGGGGCATGAGGGCGGCGCCCTGGGCCACAGCGTGCTCTACCTCACTGGCGTTGGTAAGTACCACCTCCCTGGCTCCCCGTATACCCCCCCGCCCCTCCATGTTGCCTGCTTGAAGGTCTTAGGGGAACCCCTGAGTGCAAGGCCCATGGCCATCTTCTTCCACCTCGAGGAACTTCTTCAGAGGCCTTTAGTTCAGTCAGGGATGGAGACCCAGCAATACCTAGGGCCACCAGAATCTAGAAACTGCACGGCCCATGGCCGACCGCTAGACCCACCTTAGGCCTCCGTCCTCCGGAGGCCCACCTGTCACACCACTGGAACTCCGGGATTCCTCGCTAAACCTCAGAGATCCGCGAGCCGCCTTCAGCCAGAGCCCTGGCCGCTGGCTCCGACAACAGCGGAACCAGCACCTAGAGCCTCAGCTCGTTCCCAAGGGCCAAGGGGAGGGCCACCAAGAGCTAGCAACTCAGCACGCATAGATGGGCAATAAATTCACGAGCCGGAGACCGGGTCCCTCCAACATCCAGAACCACAGGGGGCGGCCGCACGGCCTCCCGGGCATTGGGTGTGGTCCCCAGGACGGGTCTTCCTGGGTCTCGTGGGCAAAGCTCGCCTCAGCCTGGACATCATGGGCGTGGAGGCGGGACTGGGTGAGCCTCTGGTGCCCCTCTCCACTCCTTTACAGACCTCTCCCTTGATGTCGACACGCATCGCACGGGCAAGGTGAAGAGGAGCCACGGCGACAAGGTGACACTCTCCTGGCCACCCCAGGCTGGCAGGGTTGACAGGCAAAACCTCTGTCCCCCAAGCAGGGCCAAAGCTCAGTGGGTTGGTGAAGGCTGTTTCTGGAACACCCTTCCTCTTGAAGGAGTGATACCACCCTTCCTCCTCCAGTGCCATGCCTGGGTGGGGCCACCATGTATGGCTGCATAGGTTGTTCACTGCACAAGTGCGGAGTGGATTCTGGGTCTAGAGACCTGGAACTCCAGTCCCCAAATCTATGATCCCTCTTTAGATCTTGAAGCAAACCCCGAAAACAGAAGTCTCCATGTTAACAAAGCAGCCAGCCCTAGCCAGCTCCAGAGCCCCTTCCCAGCCCTCTGGGTCCCACTGACCCCAAAGCCTCTTGTTTTGCCACAGAAAACCTGGCGCTGGGGCCCCGAAGGCTATGGGGCCGTCCTGCTGGTGAACTGTGACCGGGACAGTGTCACATCCAGAGGGCCTGACCTCACCAACAGCCAGCTGGCATCACTGGATGGTATGTGACAGAGGGGTACGTGGGGATGTCCAGGGCAGTGGCCTGGGGCAGTAGAGGCTGGGGGAAGTGGGGGGGGGGTAGACTGTCAGCGGGGTGCAGGGAGGGCTGTCTCAAGGGCGCCATTCTCTGCAGACCTACAGGACATGTCCCCCATGGTACTGAGCTGTGACGGCCCAGACAAGCTCTTCGACAGCCACAAGCTGGTCCTGAACGTGCCCTTCTCGGATTCCAAACGAGTGGGGGTCTTCTGTGCTAGGGGTGAGTGGCCTGCTGTGGCCGCTTTCCTCCCTGCTCTGCTCATTCTCTGCTTCCCAAACTCTTTTTTCTCTTATACATATCCCCCCCTCCCCTCCAGCATCTTCTATACCTCCCTCTACCTCTGATGAACAGCCACCCCAGCCGCTCACAGCATACTACCTAAGAAGGAGGTTCGAAAACGAGTCCCATTTTATAGAGGAGGCCACTGAGGTTCAGATGCAGGAATCCACTGTCTCTAAGTCACGCAACCAACGGAGAGTGGAACAGGCATTCAAGCCCAGATCTCTTAAGCACTAAACCCCTCCTCTTTCCACTGCCTGCCCCCCCCCCCATCCCGGTCAGGCAGCATGGGATGAGCTCTGGATGCACCCCTGGCTCTGTCCAGACTGGGTGAGGTGGGAGCGAGAACTAGCAAAGCTGAGGCCCAGGCCAGCCCTTAGAACCCGTATGTTCAGATTTTATATATCAAAATCTGTGGCTTAAAGAAAATATACCCATCCTTAACCCTGAGCTGCCTTTACTCGTTTTTATAAATAGAAAGAGGCTTTTCCTGCCCCTTTGTTTCTTCCCCCCTTACCTTCTTCTGTTCAAACTGACCCAGAACTTGTTCTGGCCACTTAAACCTGGCAGGAGCCAGAATGTTCCTCCTCGTGCACCACTGGCGTTAAGTTTAGGCACAGAGCCCCGCTTGGAAACACTTACTGGGACGCCAGAACGTAGGCAAAGTCTCAATCAGTGAACGGATAATCTTTCGCACGGAATGAGAGTGTGCCAGGGTGACCTTTCCCAGACAAGCCTCAGGGCAGAAGGGAAGGGGGCAGCGCAGAAGTACTACAGGCCAGGCGCTTTTAAAAAGAAATTGAGGTGAAAGTCACATAATAGGAAATTAACCATTTGAAAGTGGACAGCTCCAGGGCACTTAGTTCTTCCTTGATGCTCTGCAACCACCACCTCTATCTAGTTGCAAGACCGTTTCCTCACCCCCACGTAAAACCTTGTACCCGTCACCGGCCACTCCCCAAACCCTCTCCCCCCACCCCCCCAATCCTAGGTATCCCGTAATCTTTCTGTCCCTATAGATTTACCTGTGTTGGATACTTCCCTGTAAATGGAATCATGCAATATGTAGCCTTCTGTGTCAGTTCGCGAATGATTTTCAAGGTTCATCCACATTGTAGCATGTGTCAGCACCTCATTCCTTTTGAGGGGTGGAAAATGTTCCATTATATGGACGAACCACAGTTTGTTTATCCATTCATCCGTTGATGGACGTTTGGGTATTTTCTGCGTTTTGTACGGGCTGCTTTTATCTCTTTACCTGAGAGACACTGAGTCACTGAGCCAGGGTCACACAGCTTGCACGCAGTGGGGCTTGAGGGGAGCCCCAGCAGATCTAAAACGAGGGTGGCTCTGCCCCAGATCCCTGGACTCTGGTTTCCTCCCTGCCATCCCTCGTCCCAGCGCCGGCCCTTGACTCTGGTTTCCCCTAGGCGGGAATTCCCTGAAAGACTACAAGCAGGTGCTGGGGCCTGGGCACCTGTCCTACGAAGTTAAGCGGCAGCAGGGGGAGCGGAAGATCAGCTTCTTTGTGGAGGGACTCACCTTCCCTGACGTTGATTTCTTGGGGCTGGTCTCCCTCAGTGTCAGCCTGGTGGACACGGAGGTATGTACAGTGTTGGGGGCTGGGGTGGCAGCTGAGGGTTTGGGGGACCAGTTTGGAGTCTCTGGGGCTGGGCAGGCGGGGGGACTGGGGGAACTTGAGGCCTGATGGGGCTCCCTGCAGGGCCCACTTAGTCCTCATTTCCCCCCCAGACCCTGCCTGAGGTGCCCCTCTTCACAGACACCGTGGCCTTCCGCATGGCCCCCTGGATCATGACCCCCAACACCCAGCCCCCCCTGGAGCTGTATGCATGCAGGTGAGGCCTCACCCCTCCTGCAGGAACTCCACCATCTCTGGACTGGTAGAGATAGGAGCAGAACGCTGTGTCCGCCGTTGGGCCCTCACTCCCTGGACGGGTGCGTTGAGGTCACCCATGGGTGCAGGCTGGACAGGGGAGAGCAGCAGGCTGGCTTGGGCTGGTCGGCCCCATCCTGTGCTGAGCAGCTAAGGCCCCGGCTGTGATCACTGGCTCCGGCGTCGGTGTCCCTGCCTCTACCATGTCCTGCCTGTGGGATAGCTCGGATCGAGTCCGGGCAGCGAGGCTAGGCTCTGGTGAGGCAGCTGGTGGTCGCAGGAGTGCGGTCGCTGGTGGACGGGACCAAGGTAGTCAGAGGTCACTATTATGTTCCCCTGTCCCTGTGTTTTGCAGTGTGGCAGACTCTCACGGCCCAAATAAGAAATTTCTGGAAGACATGTCTGACCTAGCATTGAAAACCAACTGCAAGCTGATCATCTGCCCTCAGATTGAAAATCGAAATGACCGCTGGATCCAGGTGGGCGCAGGAGCAAGGAGGGTGGCCCAGGACGCCTGGGTCCCCATCCTTTACCCTGACTTTGGGAAATGGGGCCTGCACAGGTTCCTAAGCAGCCTGGCCTCCCAAGAAAAGCCAGGACTCGGTCGGGGTGGCGGGGGGGGGCGAGGCACAGGCAGCTTAGGGAAACACGTTCCCACTGCCCCTATCATCCTAGTCTCTCCCGTTTCCCCCACATGCTTGGGTCCCAGACAGAGTCCTCTCCCAGTTGGGGTCCCAAGAGGCCTCACCTGTAACCCTGACCCATGCACACCCAGGTCTTAGGGAGCATCTGTGGCCCCACCCTGGTCCAGGTATGAGGGGATCACCCCGTTTGGAAAATCACACTTGGGGACACCAGCGTGATCTCTTCTTTTCCCCTCCTAGGATGAGATGGAGTTTGGCTACACCGAGGCCCCTCACAAGTCTTTCCCAGTGGTCTTTGACTCTCCCCGAAACAGAGGTCTGAAGCATTTCCCCTATAAGCGGATCCTGGTATGTGGCAAAGGGTGGAGTGGAGGTCCCTTGGGGGGCTCCTCCTACAGGATTTCGCTGGTCCTGGTCCTTATCCTTTAGGGAGGCTAAAGGACACAAATGGTGGGGAAATGGGGAGTTGGGATAGAACATGCAAATGACATGCAAACAACATGCAAATCCCCCCTGTTCTGGGAAGTGCAGGCCAGTAAAGTCCTCCTGGGGAGCCCTTCTCTCCCATGTGGGTGGAAGTCAACAGAAGGGTCAGCCCTGGGGAGACCAAACTGCATCGTGGGGGAACGCGCCGTTAGTGAGCCCTCATGACTCTTGCCTTTATGAGGTGGGGCCTGTTTTCAAGTAACAAATGTTTTCTGAACACCTGCTGCGGGCCAGGCCCCATGCTGCCTCTCATGCACAGGATGGGGACAAGAGCAGTCCCAGCACGCATGTGCTGTGTTCCAGGCACCTGGCCCTAGCTTTGCACAGTCACTTCTCGAGTCCACAGTCCTGTGGATAGCTGCTGTGTTCAGCCCCTCTTTCCGGAGGCTCAGAGAGGTGAAGTAACTTACCCTAGGCCAAGCAGCTAGGGGCACCAAGAGGTAAAACCAGAGGGACTGTCCACACAGCCCTACCACTGCACTGAACTGCCTTTGGAGGTGGGCCTGAGGCCTACAGCTCGCCATCTCTGCCTGGTTCCCAGCTCCCACAGCCCCGGCGCAGGGACAGTGCCCGCGTCCAGGTCGGGGCTGGGAGGGGGAAGTCTGGGAGCTCACGGGAACGCGGAGCAGGGCATTTACCTCAGCCTGGAGGGGCCGGGGTCGGGTCCCAGTGCAGGTGACAGTGAGCCCTGCAGGGTGAGTCTGCATCAACCAAGGGCCTGACCCCAAGCCTGGGCCTGACCTGGCCGGGGCGTTCCCTGTTCATCTCTGCTCTCATCTTTACTCTGTCCTCCCTTCCACTTGCCCTGCGTCTAATTTGCTGTTCTTTTCCTAGCTGGGAATGGAAGCAAGATTTTTCAACCCTCTCTCTTCCTAATACGTGTGTTCAGAGCTACAGCCGTTCCTAGCCGGAGCCTCGAGAGCACCCCACAAGTTCTGGTGGGCTGCATGCTTATCACCTTACACTTCAAAATATTGTCTAGTTTCCACTTGGATTTCTTCTTTGACCTAAGGATTCTTCAGAAGTGTATTGCCTGATTTCCCAGCATTTGGGGATTTTCTTGTTATCGTCCTGTTGCAGACTTGGACTTTAATTGCATCCCCCCACCTCCCCGCCCAAGAGGTGTCACTTCCTGTCCTAACTGACCCCTCCTTCTGGGGTGGGGGGGGCTTGCTGGTCCTCCCCTAGGGTCCCGACTTTGGATATGTAACCCGGGAGATCCTGTCCGCTGGTGCCTCCAGCCTTGACTCTTTCGGCAACCTGGATGTCAGCCCGCCCGTCACAGTGGGCGGCAAGGAGTATCCCCTGGGCCGGATCCTCATCGGCAGCAGCTTCCCCAAGTGAGAGGCCTGGCGGGAGGCGGGAGGGCGTGGGGATCCCTGCAGCATGCACCCTCCCTCACCCCAAACACGGGTCTCCAGTCTGAGAAGCAGTCTTCATTCCTGCTCGTGGTCCTGGAGTCAAAGACTTCGAGTCCTAGAAACTTAGATTTATTATTATTATTTTTAAAGATTTTATTTATTTATTTGACAGAGAGAGACAAGCAGGGGGAGTGGGAGAGGGAGAAGCAGGCTCCCCGCGGAGCAGGGAGCCCGATGCGGGGCTCGATCCCAGGACCCTGGGATCATGACCTGA